GTGGAGATATATCTACATTCTTCCATACGTTTTCATGTTGTGGTGGATAATTAATTAAGTACAGAGATAATTTAATTTGATGATGCTGTATTTAATTACGTGCTGACTTAATAAATTAATGACGAAGTTAGCATGAGAACAATAAAAAGCACACAAAACAAAGCAACAAAAACAAGGTAGTGTATATCATTTGAACACTAGAAATTATTACTATTATTATTATTATTATTATCATTATTATTTATTGAAATATTTACATGCGAGCTTAACAGCCCAGAGGCCAATTATAAAGTCAGCACTACTAAAGAAGAAAAATGAAAAAGAAACACAAATGTAAACAAAATAAAAGAGCAAAGACATTTACATTTAATAACAATAATAATAATTAGAAGATAAAGCAATCCTGTAACAGGCCGTGAAGACCCATAGGGTTCTGTGAGTCGAGACTTCCATATTTTCTAGACAATCGGCTCATAGATGGCGGTGAGGTCAGCCTTACCCCCAGGAGATTCCTGGTACTCATTTCTGTTAGAGGCTGAGTCGACCCCAGGGCCATAGTGCTGCTGGAGGGACTAGGTTAATTGAAAAATCCAATAACCTCATTTAGAATCGAACTTGCGACCTACTGTATTACAAAATGTTACTATATGTAGCATATCGAATTGCGTGTGTTACATTAATGGGCCTGACATGCTCAATATAAAAGCATGTAGCTGAGTATGTTATAAATAGTGTGTTTTATGTAATTTTTGTGGCAAAGTTGTTATCCCTTTGTGTCACGTTATGCGTTAACTGGTTGATCTTTGTAGCGGAGACGTAATGTCTTTCCTATGAGGTACGAACTGAATTCAAATACATTATGCAGATGCATTTCATTTTAGAAGATATTAATATTTTTATAGGGAAATTTTCTTCTTTTTTTTCTGACCGTCATATGAAACACAAAAAGAAATGCACTCTACTTACAAATTTTCAGAGTATTTAATGTTTAAATATGTGGTATATTTCTATCATTCTGTGTTAAAAGTTAAAATATGAACTTATATAAAGTGACTAAAACAGATTTATTTCTGATATTTCGAGTTCAGTTGCATAACTCAACATTTTTACAGTCTCTACATTTCCTCTCTATAAATAACACTCTCGCTTTTACTAAGCACTCTCAGTAGCTGATACAAAATTAGTTTAACAAATCTTCATATATTTTCCGATTCCAAGCAGCAATTAAAAAGCAACAAATATATTCTAAATTATTTAAAATTTCAGAGATTTCCCAAAAAATACTCTAATTGTTTAATATGCTATCATAATACTAAAATTTATTCGAGCATAAAGTGGCAGATTTAAAAAAATGAAAATCTCGGCAATTTAAAATCCAAAGTGACTCTCGAAAAATAAAGTAAATTCATCAGTCAATTGAAAAATTAAGTCTATATAATTTTATCAAATAAGTTAAATAAGATTTTATGATGTTTCTCCTCTGACACGCAGGTAACTATACACCAGACTACACGGCTTCACATCCCAGGTTATAGTAATCCTCATAGTTAAAACAAGACATCTTCTGATGTCACATGTTAAGGTACTCATTCCAATGTACATAATGAATGTACATAATGAATGTTTACAACAAAAACAGATTTCTCTTTAGTCTTCAACAGAATTACAACACCGAGTTTGTAAGCTCATTTTATGTTCTGTTTCAGTAATAAATCAATTTTTTTTAAAACAAAACTTGCTCTTTGGATGTACGTGTTCAAATCTACCGTGACAGCCCCAATCAATTCAACGTTCAATTATTATAAGGGGATTATCGTGTTTATTACATAATCGCCATTTATCACTGACAAGTCTATTAAATATATTAATTCGATTTGTATAACATAATATTTAGCAACATTATATTAATCACACAATTTTGCAGCTACTCAAGAATTTCCCAGCACTTTATGGAACCCGAGGGTCCATTCCCCTGTTCGCAAGAGCCCTCCACTGGTCCCTATCATGAGCCAGCTCAATCCAATCAATACCATCCCATTCTATCTCTCTAATATCCACTTTAATATTGTTCACCCATTTACGTCTTGGTCTTCCCAGTGGTCGTTTTCCTTATGGTTTTCCCTCCAATATCCTATAAGCATTCCTCTTGTCCCCTATTACCCACCTCATCCTCCTTGACTTGATCTTTCTAATTATACTTGACGAAGAGTAAAATTTATTAAGCTCCTCGTTATGCAATTTTCTCCAATCTTGCATCTCTTTATCTTTCTTCGGTCCAAATATTCTCAACACCCTGTTCTCAAACACCCTCAGTCTATGTTCCTCCCTTTCTGTCAGAGACCAAGTTTCACACCCATGCAGAACCAAAGGAAATTTTATATTTTTTATAAACTAATTTTCATGTGTTTAGACAGCAGACGAGAAGATAAAAGGCTCTGGACTGAATGGTAAAAAGCATCACCTGAATTCAGTTTTCTCTTAATCGAATACTAACTTATTGTTCAATATATCTCATAAATACACATTAAAATACTCAAATAATACATTTTAAATTATGTTTAGATAGTATTAGATATACTTAGCAGTGAGATAGTATTCTCTATCCAAAAGAATTAATAATATGGACGCATATTGAAATACAAATCAAATACTAAGACTGACTTCTTGTAAGTACGGATGATGATGATGACCTTGGAAAGTCGAAACATGTAGCGGAACACCTTTGCACAGTAAAAGAGTGGTTATACATGAGTGTCGATTTGTCTCTGTTTATATCCGTAGATACTATTGTTGTGTAGGCGGTCCCATTTGCAATACCATAACACACAACAGGATGCATGCCACGCAGAAAGTTTTATTTCTGATTGTTATAACTCAAGTCTGTGCGAAATTTTGTAGAGCAGTTTTTTCTTGTAAGATAATAGGCTAGAAGTAATAATAAAATTGTTCCTAGTAAAAGAAAATTTGTTCATGGAGGTAGGCCTAGGCCCACTGGGGCTGTAGTGCCAAGGAAAAAAGAAAAAGAGAAAATTTAATTTATAATATTCTCTACAGCACTACCACAATTAAAAATATAAGATTAAGTCGTATTGCTTTACAACGTAAATGCGTTTTTTCTCCTATTTCAACGCTTTAAACTTTATGTAACTTTAGAAAATGACCCTTGGTTTACAAAAACTCTAGCACCGCGTCCTCTCTTGCACAGTTTTCCCCCTTTTGAACAGCCGTAAGCAATTAACTAAATGTGTTGTTTTAGTTCGTTTAATAACAAAAAAGACATGCTTTAGAACAGCGACGCAATTATATGCTCTTGAATAAAACATGTTATTTTCACAAACAAAATTATACTTCATTTTACTTAGTAAATACATTAACATCCTTCCCTTTGGTGTCTTATTATTAATCGTGATTATTTAGTGTCACTTTATATAAAATTAAGATATGGGTCATACGCGGTATAATCACACAGTAAGTCGGGTTTCAAGGAAGGTCTAGTGATTCATGACGCAAGCGTAAGCTTAGCTTCTATTAGATTTGGGGTTTTGGTTTCGATAGTCGTCTCGTCGTGAATAGCGTAATTGAAACTTGTATCCGAGACCCAGATTAAATTATAATTGCAGCCCGGCGTGAAGGCTGTGATGAGATATATATAATATATAGCCTACAGTATATTATACAAGTCTGTCTACTCGCGCGTTACGTCCAGAAAGCATATGTGCTTCTAACATTGGTCAACCTTAATGCTTCATTCACAAAATCGATTTGCTCTGACCATCATGGCCGGTTTGACTCAAACTGTCGACAAAGAGGAAATGATCATTTTGGAATATAATTCAGTTATCCTAGTAAGTGATGGTCTAGGAGTTAATTCAATAATTCGTGCAGACAAATTAATAACAGACGCAAGATTATGTGACATTACAGAACTGCATATAGAGTGCAGCACACGGAAGTTTTTATAATTTAACTAGTCGCAAAAAAAAACAGAAGCGGCCATGTTTTCTAGGTGACAAGTAGGCATAAATTCAAGCTCAAAACGTATTATTTATTAAGTTTGTTGAAATAATTTATTTCGCTTTATTATAAAGTTATTAACGACACGTTGTGATTACCGGAATCTGAAAAAGGTGAATGACTTCATTAATACACAACTAAAATAAGAACTGTGAAAAAGAACTGTGTGTATTGCGAGAAGACGTGATAAGAGTGAACTCAACATTAACGGAATACAGGTATGTTCAAGAAATGCGCAGATCTTTTCTATAAATAGAAACACAACAACATGAGTGATGTTCATACTTATTAGAGTTAAGCATTTCTATTAATATTCGCGTCTACTAAAGGGTATAACTGGGGCTCCCTACGCCGCGTCTGTAGCGTCCGCCATGTCGTCGAGCGTCTAATCAATACTGGACCCAAGCATCTCAAGTTAGTGCAGTCTGTCTCCCCCTCTTCCTCTTCTGCAAGATCTTAGCTCTACAATCGGCAAGATTCTGACATGACGAGGTCTGTAGACTATATATCGCAATGAGTTACTCAACCCTCCCCCACGAAACTAAGGGGGTGGACTAGGATAGTTAAGATAGAGAACTGAAGAGGGCAGTTCCTAGGTCGACTCACTAGGGGGGCCGAGTATGCTTGGAGGTGTTGCACGAGATTTAATTATACTCAAACAGAGGAGCCGAAGTAATCTTGTTAGGAGTCGCAGCGCAGAGGAGAATCCTTTCTCTCGTAAACCCCTTCCTTCACCCCGCCACCACCCCCGCTCCCTATCTCCCTCTCGCCCGCGGTACCGAAGTCCCCGACACCGCCAAGCAGAAGCTAGGAGAAAGCGTCGTCGAGTATAGGAACATTGTGCGCAAGAGCAAGACGCCTCGCGACGACGTCTGAGAAGCAACAGCCATCACTTGGAGGCCGAGCCACTTGCCGTCTGGCAGTACACGACAACTCACTCACTCCTAAGGAAACCCTGACGTCGCCACGTAACGCGCCGAGCCTACCTGAGTGAGTGTAAAGTCCCGGAGATTGCTGGAACCCAGGATGTAGGCACGATGTCACGACAGATGACGAACTTGCTGGCTCCTGTACACTCGCTCGCACTGTATTGTCCGGGATAGAGCTAGTAGTCCGCTCCGTGTCGAGCAGAGATCGCTACCAGCGCTGGCTTGCTGGCCGGGCGGAGAGGGGCAAGGCGCATTCCCAACAGGTAGCACGGTAATAATAATAGGGGGAAAAAAAGTTGGGATTGGATGGGACTCTGAGTCGGTATTTCCAGCGCATGTTGTTATGCATCAGCATGGGGACGGCCCGTACCCCTCTCTGCCCCGTCATGACAGGGCTCGCCGTAAAACTAAAGGCAGGGACAATAAAAAAAAATTAATCATGGAATGTGAGAAGCCATTTGACAGGCTAAAAAACAGCGAAATGAAACTGGCCCGCAAGGAGCACAGCTGGTACACAAAGTCTTGGGTTCTCACACGGACGTATAAGAGGACTATTTTCTTCTGCGATAACAATATTTTAGTCTTGTGGAGAGTTATTGACGTTTCGGAGGAATCTTCGGCCTCTCTCATAAGTCTAATGTCTTACGCCGCGGCTGTAGGCTTCTCCATGGCGTCGTAGTCAATAATGGAAGCAAATACTCTGAAAATGGACGCAGCACAGTCCCCGAAACTTAGGTAACGTTACATGACTCCATGCCCCAGAACACAGTAATGTTCTTACCGGTAACGATTTCAATATCATGTTTGTTGTGTAATATTAACGTCAACACTTGCTGTCAGAAGCAGGAATGCTCTTAAAATGAAATAACATTGGTATTATTTTCTACCAGCTCGTGAAATAGGACAGCTTGGACTAACTGTAATTGTAAACATGTTACCCTTATCCTCATAACCACCTACCCAACATTAAAGAAGTAAAACATGGGTGTTCTAATTGCAGACCGCTAAATTTCAGATGAATTAGTTTACTAAAATAACTCCCATAGACTTTACTCTTATTGCATTGATTTGACGAAAAAAAAAATAGAAGGCATGAAATACCAGGCAGCTACAACTTACCCCTCCAGACCTCTCTTAAAAACATAATAACGTTCCTTCACAGAAAAATCTAGATTATACAACTGGTGTCCACTTTACACGAACAACCGCTCTTGCTTGAAAAGAAAAAATAAATACAAAGGACACATAAAAATGCAAAATACGCCAAACGTAGTTGGCGTATAACAAAAAGGCAATACATTAGAATGAATAAAAGAGCAGAGACCTCTATAATATGTTTCCCTTGTAAATTCCCAACAGTTACAATGAAACTTACGATTTTGGGCCTGGTATCTGATAAAGAGAGATACTACTTTGCCGGCAGAGACAAGAGCGTGTTACAGTGAACATGATTTGGCCTATATCCATCGTCACTAGACATGATCGATAAGCCCAATTCAACAAAACCATTTCCTTCCTTACGCCTATCTATGCAGAAAGGTGGATATAACTATTGCGGTAATCTACTGCCATTTGAACAGAGGATAAATTATGTAATTTATTTGTATAGAAAATATATAGGTAAAGGTAAATACCTGTGCATAACTATTTAAGTAATACGCCATGAAGACATATTGGGGAGTGGAGGTATATGTCCACTTTTCTTGACCACGATACTAGATGATCAGCTTCACGCCTCTGCGGCTTTACCTCAGGGGCTTGTCATGGAAACGTATGTTAGCGAGCCGTTGTCTGGTAATGGATTATTCCGGCTTTCAGGTCTCATGTCACAGTAAAAAGTTTAGGGGTCAACACGTCTTTATTTTAAGTTAATTTTCTTTAACGTTACCACAGCAACACAGTTGACTAATGTTATCATTAATGATGGCTTGGCACAGGAAATAATAAACGAAAACATTGACGTAGCAGTTAGCTACGATTTATCTTAGTTGCAGCGCCTTGGGTGCCCCTGTTATGGGCCTTCCCTATCAAGCGGTAAGCAAGTGAATGTTTTCATTAGTCGCATTTGAAGTGCTTCGAGCAGATCCGCGTTGCTCCAGTTACTGCCACTGACAATGAAAATGAAACAATTAAATATGTTGTCGCTTCATTTATCAGACAATGTCTGTTACATGCCCCAGATCTCACAAACATGCACACATTTTCTTGAGAGGGGTCATATTGTCAGACTTACGTTACTAAAAGCAGGGAAGAGGGTAAATATGTCGGCAAATCTACCTGTACAGAAATGTTATTTTACTTCCCCTCTTCGTTTTCCTTCCCCTATTTCAGGTCTTTTCATCTCCTTTACTCCTGCTTCCCTCTCATTCAGATATTTTGTGATCATTTTTTTCATTCACGTATCCTTCGGAGGTGAACGCGGTAGCGTAGTTGGTTGAGACACTGTGCTACAAGCCGGAAGGTTGCGGGTTCGATTCCCGAGGATGTCGTTGGAGTTTCAAATTAACCTAATCCTTCCAGCAGCAATATGGCCCTGGGATCGACTCAGCCTCTAACAGAAATGAGTGCCGGGGATCTTTCTGGGGGTTAAAGGGCGGCCGGTGTAAAAGACTGACAGCCTCACCGCCATCTGTGAATTGATTGGCTAGAAAATGTGGGAGCCTCGACGTCTCAGAACCCTATGGGCCTCCACGGCCTCTTGCAGGGTCAGCTTTGTTTTTTTTACGTATCCTTTCATGTTTATTTTTAGCTTCCAACATCTATCATATGATTTACGCCATTTCTGCTCCCCTTCTTCACCGTCTTTCAGTTGCCTTTATTTGTGTTCAGCCGATGAGTAGTAATTTATTTGTTTATCCTAGTTTCTTTAACAACAGTCTTAGTAACAACAGTACGAACTTCTGAAGTGGAATGTAGTGTAGATCGAAGAAAAATTTTGAACTCTTATTTCTTCTAGTAAGTTTCTTGCCGAACTCTTCGACTTTGAAAATAGAGGCGATACGTTCGCTCAGAAACTTCGGGCAGAACCAGATGTGCACGGAGTCACATCCCAGAAGACAGCGCTTTTTATAGTTACCGAAGTTAGAGCCTCAACTCCAGTATTGTCAGAAGCGCACGCTACATAGCGTCTGAATAATTAGAACATTAACTGGAATATAAGGGCGTGACCATGACCCAGTCTGCCGTACTATCTCGTCATTTGGCTGAATTGACTGAAGAAAAACACGAATATCACACCATCTAAACACTGTCACATTCTTAAGAATTAACGCCGATAGAAGCTCAAATTTCAGATATCGCAATAATGATGTTAGTAAGCAGTCCTAGGAAACCTCAAAGGGATTGTATCAGAATTTCCTCACACTTAACCTGAGTCTACATAATGGACTATAGGCTGGGCGGACGTGGTTCTATTCCCAGCAGGGCAAGATTTCTTTCTTCCCCACAGTGTGCACACAGGCTTTGGGGCCAGCCCGGCTTCTTCTCCAATTGGTACCGAGGTTTTTTCCCCGGAGATAAAGCGGCAGGAGCATGAGGCAGACTACCAAACTCCAACTAGTGTCTAGGTTAAGAATGGTAGATCTATACCTTCACTCCCCCATACGTCTTCATGGCGAGGTGAACATTCAAGAAGAAAAAGAGCTTAAAATTTCCTTTGCTCTCAGATCGGGTCATGACTCGGTCCCTGAATCGTCATGCGAACATGAAGAGGACATTCATTCGAAACTTAACAGAATATCCAGGAGCTGGTTCCCATGAAACATAACGGATCTGTATTGAAAAGCCAAAAGGATATTTACTGCTAATGGATCAAGTCCTGCAAGACAATCCATTGGCGGTTAGAACCGAGTCTCAGCTCCAGGACCAAACTCGCTTTCAGTCTACGAGAACTTGTATTCCCAGTTTGAAAATCTTAACTTGATCGTCCAGACAACTCGCAAAACCAGATGAGCAAAGAAGGAGCTGCCGTGATGTACAACAAACAAGATAATATTTTTTACGTCACGTAACAGAGGCTGCGTCAGGGGACGAAATTCATAGCGTCAGTACCACCACGCAAGTGTCTCATATTAACTCCTTAGTCTCCGATTATGAAAGATTTGGTGTTCTCAAAGCGATGACTAGGAATGGTGTTACCTTCCGAGATGTGACACCGTGTAGTCTGACAGAGAATCACAGCCTTTCAAAGGAACCTACTGTTATTATTATTGCTTGATTCATTCGTTTACATTTCTAACCTGAAGATGGAAACATTGCTTTCCACTTAAATATCAGTGACACGGACTGCATGATTGTCAAATCTCAAAAGACAACACTTGTCATAAATTGCGAAGATCAAGTATTTCTGGGATATAACTACATATGTGTATGGGTGTGAAACTTGGTCTCTCACATTAAGGGAGGAACATAGACTGAGCGTGTTTGCGAACAGGGTGTTGAGAATATTTGGACCGAAGAGGGATGAAATGACACGAGGTTGGAGAAAACTGAATAATGAGGAGCTTCATAACTTTTACTCTTCTCCAGTTATAATTAGAATGATGAAGTCAAGGAGGATGAGGTGGGCATGGCATGTAGCACGAATGCGGGAAAAAAGGAATACATATAGGATATTGGTGGGAAAGCCAGAAGGAAAGAAACACTGGGAAGACCAAGGCGTAGATAGCTGGACAATATTAAAGTGGATCTTAGAGAGATAGGATGGGATGGGATGGATTGGATTGATCTGGCCCAGGATTGGAACCAGTGGAGGGCTCTTGTGAACACTGTAATGAACCTTCGGGTTCCATAAAATGCTGGGAAAGTCTTGAGCAGCTGCAGATTTGGCTTCTCCTCAAGAAGGGCTCAGCTCCATAAATAAGTAATAATGACATCTGAGAACTGGGATGGCGACTGGCTGCGGACTGGTCAACCAAGCGGTTGGAGTTGGAATCCCGGTGGGGCAAAAATTTTCTCTTCTCTACCTACCTCTAGTAGGTATCGATGGCTCTTTCCCTGGGGGTAAAACGGGGCCGTGAATCTGATCACTCTTCTTCAAATAGTGCCGAGGTCAAGAAAATGTGGATGTTTACATCCACTCCCTCATACGCCTTCATGGCGCAGTGCTTAATTAGTTAAGCACAGGAAAAACTTTATGACTACATGTAATATTGTGGAAGATTAACAGAGTTTCGGAGGAATATTCTGCTTCCATCTTTAGGGTAATTGAAAT